GCGTGAGATTTGCGTACGAGCAGTGCCTCCTCTGCCTGTCCTATCATCCGGATATTTGGTATGAAGCGGCACTCTTCCTGCAAGAATCCTCCAAGCTCCTGTCAGAAAAAGGGGTAAGTGACACGTGTGTGTGAGTGTGTGTGTGTGAGTGTGAGTGTGAGTGTGTGTCTGTGTCTGTGTATCTGTGTGTGTGTCTGTGTGTTTTTCTGAGTATAGATCACATTTTGTAAATATTGATATATCATCAAGAGGAAGTTTGGGATTTTATATACTATTATTATTATTGTTGTTATTATCATTATTATTATTATTATTATTAGTTACATTTTATGAAAATGAATGATTTTGCACAGATATGTTAATACTACTTCCCTCCACAGGATGTGAACGCCAGCAAAATCTTCAGCGAGGAAGCAGCTCAAATCTACGAACGTGCTATCTCTGGTCCTTTGAGAAAGAACCAGCTCCTGTACTTTGCCTATGCGGATTTTGAGGAGTCCCGCCTCAGATATCAAGAAGTGCATAAGATTTATCAGCGGTACATAGAAATGGAAGATATTGATCCAACCCTGGTAAGTCTGAGTGAAATGGAGTGCTTCCATAGTGTATGGTAGGTTTGTGTGATGGGTATGACTATATTATTCTCACATCCTTTTCTGATTGGATTCTGTGCCCCCCTTTTTTTTTCGAATCACACGATAATTGCCTATGAGTGTCAGAAACGATATGAGAATATTAATTTTATTCTTGGTTTGATCGGCAAAAAATGAAGCATTTGGTATAGATATACATATATATGTCTTCCCCTAGTGAAGTCTAGTTTTACATTTTGGAAAATCACAAAGAAAAATTGATCACTTTTTCCTTCTGTTTACATCTTGTATTTATTTATTATTTATTTATCTATTTTATTTATCTATTTATTTATTTTTTTTCCCCTCCCAGGCCTACCTTCAGTATATGAAATTTGCTCGACGAGCGGAAGGGATAAAATCCACAAGAGAGGTCTTCAAGAAAGCGCGAGAGGACGTTCGGACAAAGTTCCACATCTACGTTGGTGCTGCTCTCATGGAATACTACTGCACAAAGAATAAAGACATTGCTTTCAGGATATTCGAACTGGGACTCAAGAAGTGTCCGGATAATGCAGATTACATCATGGCCTATGTTGACTATTTATCCCATCTGAATGGTAAGCAGATCGTTTGTTTAAGGCGTTAGTAATGTAGGATTGACTGAATCATTTCCTTGCAGATGAATTCATCACTTGTGACTGGTAACATCAGGCATAAAACAAAAATTTATTTTTTTGTTGCCAAGGGTTCAAGTAATGAGTATTAGGTGTTCATTATTTGAACATTTGCCAAGAGTTCTATGCATTTGAGGGTCTTTATCTCAAAATATGATTATTGAATTGAATAGTTAAATATATCTAATGATGATGGAGATACAGCCAGGTGATGATTACCAAGAAGGCATTATTTAGGAACATATGCAGGAGCATGCAATTTTAAGTACATATTACTTTCTGTCACTATGAAGTGTACTTGATTATAAAGTATTGTGTTATTTAGTTGTGTTATTTTCATTATCCTCATTATTATTATCATTGTTTTGACATTAGTAATATTATGAGCACTGATAGTAATATCCAAGGTAATATTCACTCTTCCTTTCGGTTCCAGACGATAACAACACGAGAGTCTTGTTTGAAAGAGTGCTAACCTCAGGACAGCTGAAAAATGAGGACACTGTTGGGCTGTGGAACCGTTTCCTGGAATTTGAGTGCAACGTCGGCGATCTTGCGTCCATTGTCAAGGTCGAGAAGAGAAGAGCTCATGTCTTGCAGAAGGTGAGTCCCCCCCCTGCAGAGGTTAGAGATACTGTGCATGACGTTTGTTGGTTTGTCTCCTTTTTCCTCTTTTGGTGTAATTAGTTGAGTATATGTACAGATGCAGCTCTATGTGTACAGGCAGTGTTGTTCAGAGCAGTTTCAACTTTGAGGTTTGTCGTATTTTTAAACATTGGTCTTGTCTTAAAGTCTTTCATGGTTTGAAATGTGTATTTATATTTTGTCCAGTTGAATTAGTCCTGCCTCCTAGTGCCTGGATTTATGAATATTCCATTTCACAGCTGCAAGAATTCGAGGGCAAAGACACAGCACAGCTTGTTGACCGGTACAAGTTCATGGATCTCTACCCGTGCACACCTCCCGAACTGAAGTGAGTTCTTCTTCTTCTTCTTCCTCTTCTTCTTCTTCTTCTTCTTCTTCCTCTTCTTCCTCTTCCTCTTTTTCCTCCTCTTCCTCCTCCTCCTCTTCCTCCTCCTCCTCCTCCTCCTCTTGTTGTTCTTCTTTTTCTTTTTCTTCGTCTTTGGTCAAGTGTTAATATTTTATAGGTATTTCTTTCAGAGTTGCTGATATATATTATATATATGTTATAAGTGAAATGTATTTAAAAATCATTCTTTATTTATGATTGCAAGGATAAGCTTTAACAGCATGTATGAAATAAATTGGATGAAATATTAAGGATTTGATAGCCTTTCTCACCTCATATTTTCCTTCCAGAGCCATTGGTTACCGCGACATTTCAACCCACAACATGATCATCAACCCAAACGTCCCCAGAGGATTGTCAATCCACGACTCTCAGGAACCGACCTATGCAAGACCCGACTTCTCCCAGATGATCCCCTTCAAACCCAAGGCCAAATATATCCCTGGAGAACACCCAGTCAAAGGTGCTGTGTTTGCCTTTCTTTTTATATTTGGTTTTGAGGAGTTGAGTTGTGCGTTGGTGTTTACATTTACTCTGGTAATGATTATGTACTTAGTTTATTTTTTATTTATTTATTTTTATTCATTAATTTTTTTTTTTCTCAAAGTTTCAATGAGGCAGTCCCCTTGTTTTACTACGTATGTAATAATCTGTTTTTAAACTTCAAAATATTTCAACTTGGTAATGTGATTGGAAATTGAATTTCTATTCTTGTGAGTGCTTCTAATTTTGTTTCATTTTCTCAGAAATCAAGTCAAGTGTAGGAGTGTCAATTTGCCTTCTTTTTCACATTCTTATCATGGTAATGTTCATGACAGCAACTTTTACAATTTCGCTAACAACATTTTCATCAATCACATTGAACATTATCCTGTGATAGGTGGTGCTTTCCCTCCACCTCCTGCTGTTGCCAATCTGCTGTCCATGCTGCCGCCTCCCCATTGCTTCCGAGGTCCCTTTGTCAAGCTCGATGCATTGGTTGACCTCTTCATGAGACTGAATCTTCCTGAACAAGGTATGATTTATATATGTGTATATGTAAACAGATGTACATATTTTGAATACAGGCACTTGCACATGCATACATGAATGAGTTTGTTTATGCAGTTATTAAAAGTAATTCATTGAAGATAAAAGAGGGAAGATTATGTGTTGAGAATTTCTCCAGTTGTCCTTGTTCTTTACATTTACAAAAAGCGTCTGTATCATTTCCAGGAGGTCAGTGGTCAACGACTGGAAGCCACGACGTCAGACTGTTTGAACTCTCCAAATCCGTACACTGGGTGGTGGACCCCAGTGGCGACCGGAAGAGAAAGCTGGTTCCTGGTGACGATTCAGACGATGAAGATGGGAACAAACCCATTTTAACAAGTGATATTTACAGAGCCAGACAACAGAAAAGAATGAAGTAAGGGTTAAAAGGATGTATTGTAATAAGAGAAAGTACACTATATTTGCTTTTGAAGTGGGATGTTTATTAAGATGCAATAATTTTTAGCTTTATTTAATCATTATTATTATTATTATTATTATAATTATTTTATTCATCTTGAAGAGATCAGTCATGACTAGGAAACATATCCATCTCAGCTTCAACAAAGAAACACAAAGAAAACCAACTGGAAGATCAGTTTTGATTTTTAAATTATTGATTCATGACGGAGCTATTCTTTTGTTATATGGAGGCTATATAGCTTGTATTTTAATGCCACAAATGATTGTTAAAGGAAATCAGCAATGCTTTTATTTCACAATTCTATTGATTCTTAGAATGTTTATAATGTGTCCATTGTATAATATTTATATTAAGACCATGACTGGTGTTGGTAAAAGGCATACCTCGAGTGATTGTATATTCTTGGTATTTTGCATAAATTCCAACATAAACCTAGCATGTATAATAAACAGAACGAGGAAATGAGGGCTGTTTAGATGTACTTTTTGATCATTACACTGTATATGTCAGATTTTTAAAATGTTATTTTTAGAAATAAATCTGGTTTTATTCATAATGTTTCACTTAACAACAATGAAAAGTAAAGAGGGTTGTTCATTCATAGAAAGGAAGAAGTGGTTGATCAAGCATATAGAATTATATTTTATGCATAGAATGAAATGAAACTACTTCATAAAATGCTCAAGTAAATGCATGCTAAGATGCACATTGAAGATGAGAAGGCATTATCACAATTGCAATAACTGTTAATCTGGCATATATAGATGATATCTGACAGGAAGAAAGTAGATATATCATAGATTGCCTTTGCAAATGGTGCAATAATAATGTATATTTCAGTGTCCACAAGAATCCATACATAGGAAACTGGTGTGTTGAATCAGTAATTGCTACAATACGGCAATGAAAAACAACCAAATGACTATGTGTGAAGTACAGGTTGAGATACAATGAAGTTTTGAGAGAGAGCATTTGTTACCTTTTGCTAAAGAGTAGAATGAACAACTTGTTTTCTATATAGTTATGTTATTTTTTTATTATTATTATACTATAATATTTTGCTAATGAGCAACTTGTTTTCTATATAGTTTTGTTATTTTTTTATTATTTTTATACTATAATAGTGAGTTCTCAGTAGTTGTTTATAATTTTGATTGCAATTACATACTGCATTGCAGAAATGTGTTGCTACTGCGGTAAAAACAGCGATGGTTGTACTTTGCAAATGTAAAATGAGGAGCTAATACTGTAAAGCTTTTTTATTT